ATAAGTATTTCTGGCAGAGAAAGCTGTGTGGCCACAAACCCCTATCCCCTCAACACACACACTTACAAGGGGGGATGGGCAAGGGGAGTTCATGCAATGTGTCTCTCCTTGAGACCTGAATACTTGGGTTTTAATCAGCAATATCTTCCTTTGTTCAATGCATTTCTAGGCTTCAAGTTAGGTGAGGTAGGTTTGCAACAAAAATAGCCTGGGAAACTACTGCCTACGGTTAATCTCCAAGGTATACCTGAGAAAGGAACAGAGCCGTTCTATCATATGCAGTGGAAAGATTCTCTCAGTTCATGTGAAGGGACGATGATATTTTGCCTGCCACGTGAAACAGGCTGTCCAATTTTATACCTTTGCTACTTGACATTTATAAAATGATTTTTTAAGAAAACATTAAAAGGAAGTAAAAGAATGCAATTTAACTAAAACAGCACATGTGAAAGACAGAATGGTAAAGTGAATGAATTCTTCAAATAAATAAGATCTGTAGAATGAGTGTATCATAAAGACAAAAGAGAAAAGGTCATATGACTGTAAGAGTATGAAATAATGGCCCCACTAGAATTTTTTGAACTGGTTTGGCTGCAGGTGATCAGTAGACATCACATGAGGATGTCTAGCTGAGGTCCTCAAAGGTTGGGCCTCAAGGCAGAGGTTAATGACCATGTTTTCAGCATATACTTGGATCTCTATCTACAAGAGTGAGAAAGGGGCTTACGGTCTTCCATCCAACTACAACTCTTGTCTCACATGTCCAGACATACCGGCCACCTTTATGTTCCTCAGTCAAGCCCAATTTTTTCTGTCTCAGTGCATTTTTATTTTTCCTACCTAGAAGGATTTACCCTAGATTTTGTCATTGCTTCAGAACTGGCTTTATCTGCCATTGAAATCTCAAGTCAGCTATCATCTGCTTAGAGAGGCCTTTTCTGACCACCTTATGTAAACTGTCTCATCCCACAAAGTCATTCTCTATCATAATGCTATTTTTGCAACACTTCTCTAACTAAAATTATTTTGTTTATTGTCTTCTTCCTTCCCATTAAAGTTGAAGCTTTATTAAAGGATCTATATATATTATTCAAGGTCTTATTCATAACATCTAGATTCTACAGAGATCCATACATCTTGCTAATAAAGGGCCTAACAGTAGATAGTTAAGGATTTTCAGTTCATGTAGTTTCTTCAGAACTACTCAACTCTGCCACTGCAATATATAAATGCATGTGCATGGCTGTGTTCTAATAAAATTTTATATGCAAAATACAGGCAGCTGGCTAGACTTAGCCTGTTGCTGTCATTTGCCAAATCCTGCTCTAGGATATTGTACTGACAGAGTACTCAGTAAATATTTGAAAGTAAATGAACATAAATATTTTTTTAACTGATTATTTCAAGGTAATGATTATCTACTTGTTATTCCATTCCAACCAAATGAAAAACAGATACATATCTGGCTTAAATGGCATAAATTTATATAGCATAAATCCTTAGCCTTGATAATACTGAGTAAAACCTGCACTAAATTTGTTGAAGGTAACCTAAGTTATGCCAGTGTGGCTTTGCTTTTCATCTTATTATTTTTCACTTCTAAACTCAAAGGTGCAGAGCTTTCTTTACACAAAAGCAAAGTACATGGCCAAGGAAAGGATGTGACTTCCAGAGTCTGTTTCTACAGAGCTGGAGAGGCAGTAGCGACGATGAGAACACTGGACCAGGGGTCAGGAGATCATGTTTTAGTACTATGACTATCAACCATCTCTAACTTCTCTGAGATCAACGTTCTTCACCTTTAAAATATAAAATAGATACATTAAAAGAGAAAGTCTGATCTCTATTTCTAAGACATGATTAGGCTATAATACTGTTATCATGCACTTTAACTGATAAACATGATCAAGCAGATTCTAGCTTTTGTGTAATCCACACAAGAGAACAAATAATAAAGAAAATATTATAAAATCATATTGATGGGATGTTAAAATATTTTTATTGATAAATAAGTGGGAATTCCTGTAATATCTGTTTAGAATGTTGAGGTATTGCACTATCCTAGTTCTGTGTTTATAGAGATAGAACTACTTCCTTTTTTGATTTAGTGAAATGTTGGTGAAAAAAAATACTCTCTGGTTGTCTCTTTTTCCCTTTATTGTAGTGACAAGGAAAGCCATTAAATAATATTTTAAGAAATAGGTAAGATATAGTTGACATTTTAAACCTCCTTCTTGCCCTGTGGATTGATATGTGTTTTTAGATAAATGTAAAGTAACTATTATCAGACTAAATGGTAGGGGAAAGTATAGGGAGAATTCAAAACTTAAAACTTCCACATATTAATCTAGTATGCTTTGCAAGGTATAGATTACATTAATGCTAGAAAGCAAACAGCAGAGAGCTTCAGGTCTGGTTGTCATATTTTTTTCCCTCTTAGTGTTGTTAGCAGAAGAGATTAAATCTTTACCTAAAGTAGATGATGGACTTGGGTTCTCAGAATGGGCCACCTACTTGAATCAGCACCATTTGTGATACTTTTTAAAAGTTAGCCCTGGTTGGTATGGTTCAATGGATTGAGTGTCAGTCTGTGAACCAAAGGGTCATGGTTCGATTCCGAGTCAGGGCACTTGCCTGGGATGCAGGCCAGGTCCCCAGCAAGGGGTGCATGAGAGGCAGCCATACATTGATGCTTTTCTCCCTCACTTTCTCCCTCCATTCTCCTCTCTCTAAAAGTAATTAAATAAAATCTTAAAAAACAATTTTGTATTTCTGGTCTGCACCTCAGACCACCTTGATGGGTCCTAGGTATCTGCAGTTGATTAAATCTTCAGTTACAATTTATGTGCAATAATGTCTGAGGATTACTATCTAGATTAAGAATTCACATTCCACTACATCAGATTAATGATACGGTGAAATTTAGATCATGTATTTTTCTAGTTCAATATCCAAGGAATGTGGAAGCTATTTTTATGGCTTTAAAAGTATAAAATATGTAAAAAAAAAAAATCTGGAAAATAAAAAAAATAAAAAAAATAATTTCATAACTGCTCTTTAGGGGAAATAAAGTTAATATTTGGTGAATATTTAGGTGAATTTCCTTCTAGTCTTCTGATGTCATAACATGGGTCATCATAGACTCTGATGGCAGTGGCCATATTTGTGCATTTTTCATTGTATCCCTAGGTTTTACCATAAAGCCTGGCATAGGATGCACTCAAATATTGTTGAATAAGCAAAGTGAATGAATGAATGAAACTGGCATCTAATGTATCCTTAGTTTTGGCCATGTGGACACTTTATAAAAATATGCCAGCATTACATAGAATATCATTTTCTGATTCCCACAAGCATCAGATCAATAATATCAATTACTAGTAATTTTACACCATTTTTCTAGTGTTTTACTCACATTAATTTAATCCTAACAACAATATGTTGTGTGCCATTTTTATCCCCGTTTTATAGATCAGGAAACTAGAGCACAGAGAGGTTAAGTAACTAGTCCAATACCACACAGCCAGTATATGGAAGAATTAACTCCTGAGCCCACTGATAGTGAGATTTTAAGAGACTAGGTTAACAAATAACTACCTACTTATGATCTAAAGTTAACCACTCCTGGTAAGCAAATACATATGTACCTGATGGTTAGCACTCTAACTATAAAAAACTAAACAAGTATTAGGTGGTTATATGACAATTAAGACTTAGACCTGGGACCTTTGTTAATTCACTCTGCTTTTTGACAAAACTACAAATACATCTGCATCACTTCAAGTGTGGAACACTCAGTTTATGTTGCAGGTTCCTCCGTGCACATCCAGATGTGATGTTCCTGCTGCCAATAAACGTGTTTACTTTGCTTGCATTTCAGCTTACCACACTGGCCACATAAAGCAAGCACACATTCTTTATTTTTTTTCTTTCAATCTTCACCTGAGGATATGCTTTTCTTCCATTGATGAGAGAGAGAGAGAGAGAGAGAGAGAGAGAGAGAGAGAGAGAGAGAGAGATACATCGATGCAAGAGAAACACCAATTGGTTGCCTCCTCTTGCCTCCTGACTACCCCACTGGGGTTTGAACCTGCAACTAGGTATGTGCCCTGACCAGAGGATTCAACCCGAAACCTTTCCGTGCACGGGAAGACGCTCAAACTAACTGAGCCAATCAGACAGGGCTACACATTCTTAATGCTAAAAAAAAAGGGGGGGGGTCATGTAACACTCTACCTTTCCCAACATCTTTCATTCTGGGCGACAAAAATTAAAAATACATAAATAAATCAATCTACAGCCCATATCTAAGATCCCATACCTTCTGTTCACAAATAACTGTTAAAGTAACCATCGTTGGCATTAGACCCTGGAATAAGGTCCTCTGGAGGTAGCGTCGTGTGAGAAATGGAATTTCCTGCTCAGACTGATCCGCTTCGGACCTCATCCCTAAAGGAATCAGACTGATTCGTAGTACAAAATCACCTACATCTCGCACACCTGCAGGAGCAAGAGCCATTCTCCCTTTAATGCGTGCTTGAAAGCCACGGAGCCCAACTAACAGCAGGACCAGTGTCCTGGCCATCTACATCCTCGTCCTCCTCACACTGCTCCTGCAATATCCTAGCCTCCAGGCGGGCCAGGGACAGAGGCCAGTGGCGGGTAGGTCCTCGCCCGGAGCCTGCGAACGTTGAGCCCTCGCGCGAGGAGTGGGGGTTCCCTGGGCCTGCAAATCACCGCCCGCCCCGCAGGAGGCGCCGCGGCCGGTCGGGAGAAGCCGCGCGCCCGGAAAAGGGGCGCGAGAGGCTGCACGGAGCCGCAGCTTCGCCTGCTTCGTCCCTCCCCTTTAGCCCTCCCTGCTAGGCGACAAGCGAAGCCCCCGCTAGGGGAGGGGGCGGAGAAGGGCGGACGCCCGAAACGGCCCTGAGGCTCCCTGCGATGGAGTGGCGCGAGCCCGAGGGGGCGGGGAGGTGCGGGCGGGCGGCGTGCGCGCGCTGAACGTGGGTGTGGGTGGGGGTAAGTAGAGCGGGCACGCGGGAGCGCGGGGCAGAGGGACGCCAGCTACCCTGGACAGCGCAGATACTCGCCGGGGTCGCTGTGCCGCAGCCGCCGCCGCGATCATGGTGAGTGGGTCCGCGCGCCACCACTGCCGCTCTTTCTTTCTTTCGCTTCTGGACCGATGCGCTGGGCGGGAAGGGGCCGAGCGGGCGGCGGTGCGGGATCTGCGGGTTCGACCGCTGGAACCCGTCGCTGTCGGGGGGCCGGGCCCGCGCAGGCCTGGGGAGGGGGCGGTGAACGTTTGGGCTGGGGGCTCACGGGCCGGGTCGGGCCGGGGCCGGCGGGTCTTGGGCACGGTGTCCGGGTCCGCGGTCCCGTCCCGGCTCCTCGAGGCGCCAGCTCGCGTCCAGCCTACTGTTGTGTGACCGCGGCCGGCCAGTGCCTGGGATGCCCGACGAAATCGCCCTCCTCCCGCAGCAGCCAGGCCCGCTCGCAGCCCACAGCCTCCTTTTCCTGGCACTCGCTCCCACCCTCCGGCCTGCGGCTCCGGGCCGTGGGGAACGGCGTTTCCCTCGTGTGGTACCGACCCAGCGTCGGGAAATTCTGGGGTTTGGGCTCTAAGCGGTTGAATTCACGTCTCCTCTGTGCTCCGTGCCTACCGTCCCGGGGGTGTGTCTGTGCTTGCCTTTGCTTCGCTGGGTTTGCAGAGTGATGTCAATGGGTAGATTTTCATTTATAGATCAGGATGGAGGGCCTTCTGGAGTATTCTTTTAACTACTGCCTCCCAGTTTATCAGGCCAGTACTGGACTCTGCTGGAGAGGTGGTGATGGGGGGAGGGGGTGTCTCTTGGTGTCCCATGACCTCCCTGGTTTTGGCACCAGAGACTGGGTCTGTGGCTAAAAAAGAGAAAGTGTGTTGTGCCATGCTCAAAGGACCAGTGAGTCCTAGGCAAAATGTGGATCCCACATTTGTTTAAAGTAGTCCATGTTTTATCTTTGTTTCTCTTAGCACTTTCATATAATTTCCTCTCCACTTCAGGGCTGGCTAAAATATGCAAATCGCCTGTTTTTTCCTCACTCCAGCTGACACTAGTCTGCCCTAGATTTTGCCCTCTTGACCCTTTCAGGCACACACAATTTATTGGATTGTATGTGAAGCCTTTTCTGGCCACTTTACCTAAAATTCCAGTCTTTCCCACCCCACCCACCACAGTTTGTATTCCCCTTGCCTGCTTCGTTTTTTTTCTTCTTCAGCATCCAATGTTTAGCTTACTATCGATTTTGTTTATCTTGTTTATTGAATGTGTTCCCCACTGGAATGTAAGTTTCAGTAAGGCTGAGATTTTTGTCATTTTTGTCCACTCCTATATTTCTAGTACCTACATGCAACAGCGCCTGGCACATAGGGAGTGCTCAATATTTTTTTAAAATTAACCCAACAAAACAGCATACTTTATGCTGATGTACAAGTGGGAAGCAGCACACCTACAAGATTATCTATCCAATTGACAATTGTAATGATGAGAATGTCAAGTGAAGTTTGAAAGGAGGGATGTTCTTGGAAAGAAGCTAGTCTATTTAGTCGCCCTCAATGATAAGAGTATTGGGTGGCCATTGGTTATGCCTGGGCCTGTCAACTTAATGCCCTTGACACTGGCACATGAGCGGGACAAATCATGTTTAGCACTCTCTCCTTTCAGGTCTGAATCTTTGTTCCAAATTATTATGAATTGTAATGGGTAAGGAAATAAATCCAAGGATAACTCCTTAACTGGATGATAGAGTCATGGGAATTGACCTGAAAGAGCCAAAATAAAGGGCAAGCTATTATGAGCTCTGCCCTATACAATTATGATACTTCCTCTTTAGATAAGCATTTCTCAGTAGTTTTGGATCTTCAGAGGAGCTATTTTTATAAATATAACCAAATCCAAGTTGTCTCACTATTTTAAAAAAAGGTAGGGTGTGGGAAGGGTCTGGGGTTAAATTCATAAATTAGTGCATCAGTTGAAAGAGGCACCCCTTTGGATTCATGTCCAACATGAACAGTCTCATGATGTCTCTACTAATTAGTTTTACTACAAAACAATTCCCTAGAAATTCCCTTTCGTTTTCCCATTTCCGTGGTGTAAATTGATGGCAATCCTTGTTTTAAGCCTGGAGAAGCGTTTTATATAATTTGAGCCAAACTGCTTGATGAAGTTTACATGGACAAGGGTCTGAAAATGATGCAATTATAGCCATCACTATACGAGTGCAGTGGTTCTGTGATTACTGTCTAGTCCAGAAAGGTGTTAGAAATTAAAGGTAAAAATGAAAGGAAAATTCCTTTCATTTTTTGTACTTGAAATTAAAACCAACCAAACAAACATAAATGAAAAACACCTTATTTTTTACCCCAATTTATATTTCTAGGAGGTTTTGCTATGTTATGATTCCAGTCTATAAAATATCAAGCCATTTTTTTCTTTCTATTCTTCAAAAGTGTTGAATTTTCAAGGGTGACAAAATCCATTTTTAAACTACCCAGTTGGGTAAGCCTAATTTTAGGTTCTTCAACAAAAGGTTGCAATTTAATTCAGTTCTCTCCAAAACGTTTAAATCACTGTTTGCGAGGTTCAGATCCTTTTATGGTTTAAAATTTAACTGGATCCATGTCATAGATCTAGTTATATTGAGAAAACAGGACCCAGTTGCTCTGGGTTGTGCCCATGATCATCTCCATCGTACCCTCTACTATGACAGGTTTGGGTTTTTAGGAGTAGACATTGATAAAGGGCAAGAAGTTGCTCTGGAAACTCTTCGTCAGGCCCAGCATGGTAAAAATATGCCAACATCAGTGGTTCTTCGGAATTCTAAAGTTACAAATTTTCACATTTGTATTTTTTCTTCACTGAATCAGGACGTCACTGATAGATCACTCACACTGACAATGAACCTTCTAAAAAATTGTTAGTTTAAATATAATTTAAAAATCTAACAATGTAACAGTTACGGAGTATAAACTGTTCTAGAATGGATGATGTGGCAATTCAGAACTTGAGATCTCGAGTCAGTCATGAGTTTGAATCCCAATGCCAACATTCAACTGTGACCTTGAGCGGATTAACTTCTTCAGGCCTCAGTTTTTTGTTTTGTAAAAGAAGACTAATATTTCCTAAGGTTGCTGGGAGGAACAGATAAGACGATGCACTTAAAATAAGTATAATGCTTAGAGTGCTCAGTAAATATTAACTATTATGACGTGTTCTTTTTCTCCCGTATCTGTTTGCAGTTGAGACACCTCAGAAGATTCACCTCTGAGTTCGCTTCCCCTTATGCAATGCTAATACATTTCTATAGCAGCAGTGTACAGTAGAAATATAATGCAAGCCACATAGTAATTTTAAATTTTTTAGTAGTCACATTAAAAAAACCAAGTGAAATTAATTTTAATATATTTCATTTAACTCAATCCATGCAACTACTTCAACGTGTAATCAGTATAAAAATGTTAGTGAGATTTTATGTTCCTTTTTAATATGAAGTTTTCAAAACTGGTGTCTGTTTATGTTTATAGCACATTCGATTCAGGCTAGCCTGATTTCAAGTGCTCAGTAGCCACATGTGGTGAGGGACTACTGTACTGGACAAAACAGCTCTAGATGATACACATCTTTCAAATTTACCTCTTATCTATTAGACCCTTTCCACTCGTGAGAACTCACTGCCACCTTAAACCTAGCATTACGAAAAGAAAGCTCACCTTTCACACTCTCCTCTCTGTTCCCTTTTGCTGTTAGTAATTCCACCAGCTCTCAAGTCTACTGTGTCTGAAATCTGATTCTCACTCTTTTTTCTTTAATATTGTTTATTGTATAATATTCTCATATTTTTACTAGGAAAAAGTTTTTAAATCTCTTTTCCTCTCCAGCCCCCTTTCTACTATTCTTATATTTTCTACAGGTTTCGTCTTCTGTGGTCTCTTTTTAACATTTTTTAAGTTCTTTATTTCTTCAGGGCCAGATTCATGTAGTAACTTAACTCTGGGGGACTCTAGCTCTAAAATGTTCAAAGATCCTCCTCCTCCCCTTCTTGAGAAATATATTTCTTTTCTGAATCACTGGGCTCCACATTCTCTTCATCCTTTCATCAGCTCTTTTTCATGTTGTCATAAATGCTATTTTATAGTTTATTTCTATAAACTATTTCTTTAACACCATTTCTTTAACAGATAGCCAAAGAAATATAATTACTTTAACTGATAATATATTAAAATAATCCACCCAAGAAAAGAAGCACAAAGCAAGGAGAAAAACCATGTGAAGGGGAAATGAAATTATTTGTTCTTTATCTACCTTTCAAGAAATATCAGAGTACCTGATTAATAATAATAGCAATAATCACAATAGGGATGACACTTTACATTTACTCAGTGCTTTATAGGAAACAGAGCACTTTCTCTGTGACTAGTAAACAAAGGCACAAGACAAAAGAATAGGACTGGATCAAGAGTCAAGAACCTGGTTTCTAGTCCTGGCTTTATTGTTGACTAGCTCTGTCCCCTTAAGTCACTCTGAGACACTGTTTACTCAACTGCAAAAATGGGGTGTTTTTACAAGATCATTTTGTCAGAATCAAATGGGTCTGACTGTTACATTGACCTTTCTTTCTGGCTGGATTTCCCCCCAGAAAGCTGTATGACTGTCTTCTCAATACTTTCTTAATTATACCTGCTATAACCGCTCTGTTTAAAACTGGGAACTGCCCTACCATATTCACACATACCAGATCTTACACCATTTTTTTTTTTTTTTTTTGCCTGTAACACTTATAATTCTAAATACTCATTTATATACCACTTGGAATCTTCTAATAATTATGATATTATAGGATTTTGTCCATTCGTACCCAAATGCCAACTTCATGAGGACAGAGATTTTTATTTGCATTGCTCAGTGATGTATCTCTAAGTATCCAACCTGCAACCCAGGATGGCTATAAATGCAGCCCAACATAAAATCATAAATTTACTTTAAACCTTTTTTTTGGCTCATCAGTTTTCATTAATGTTTGTGTATTTAATGTGTGGCCCAAGACAACTTTTATTCTTCCAGTGAGGCCCAGGGACGCCAAAAGGTTGGAC